CAGGACCTTGACAATCATGGCTCTCCACAATTTCCTGTCCTTTTGTAGCTGTTTGACATATAAGAGGACACATGGAACAGTGGATAAAGGCATTAGTTAAATCCGTTGACAGGACCCAAAGAGTATGAGTTCAAAACCTGCTTAAGGCAGTGGAGAACTTGGAGAGGGGAATTAACAGGAGATAACTGATAACTGACATCCATTAGACATGTCACATGGAGCTAGTCTATTCCAGTGAGTGAAATAAAGGGTTCAGTTTGACATTCCAACCACCTGAAGAAGGCCGGAGCATACAACAGCCGAAACGTGATAAATATGGGAACAAAGATGAGGACAATAGTCCGAATAATGTAAATATTATAAGAGGACTGATATTATGTAACAGGTTCAATACTTTTTCCTTTGTTTCTAATGAATTTTTTAATTTCTTATCATTTTAGATGGGTCCAGTTCATAATATAAATCCAGTATCAAATTGATCCCTGATTTTTTGAGACTTTTCTTTATTTTGTTTTATATTTACAAATGTCAAATCTGAAACTGAATCCATGTAATTAATAACTATATACTGTTAATGTTGTCTTTTTTTCCAATTAACTTTGCATCATTTTTTTAAAATTTTTTGCAAGATAGATTTATGCATGTTAGACTTTAACTTTATCATGGACACAGTTGTACAAACAAAGGGAGATAATAAATATTTATCTTAAATTCTGAACTGTATCAAACAAACTAATTTTTATAACATTAAAAGATTTTTATGAATATTTAATGAAAAAAAAATATTTCACCATAACATACTCTTTAACAATTGAAAGAAGAAAATACCTGATGAGAGAATTCATTTTAAGAAAAATAATTACTATCTACCAATTTTTGATCAGGTGTCTCCATAATAAAGCCAAAGACTAAAAAGAAAAATAGCTAAATCTACTTGTCAAAAACTTATTTCAAAGTTTATTTAAAAATTGGAAAAAATTAGAAAATTAGAAAAAAGGACATCAGCATTTTTCTCAAACTTAAATCAGTTTAATAAAAATACTTTAGTCATCATTTTGTAGAAGCCTAAAATGTGACTGACCCCTAAAAATGTTATAACTCCTGAAAGTAATAAAGCCATATATAAACTTTATGTTTATAAGCACCTTGACTTTAAGTGTAACATAAACTTAAATGAAAATCTTTGTTGTAAATAATTGGGTAATGTATGAAATGAGACAGAAGGACAAATCATGTCTCCCATGAAATTCAAGATCATGACCTTTGATTTACATGACCAGTGCACCAAATCTCTGATGTTAATCAGCATTCATAAACCAATTACTGATTATTAAATACTTTGATAAGGCAGATGGAGAAAGTGCTTGACAATTATGTACAGATGGATCCAGCATCTCTCAATAAAAAGAACACTTCCTTATATCAAATGATGATGTGAGAAGACAGATAATACTATAATGGAGCTAAGATCTATATAAGTATACTAATGAGTGCATATATATATATATATATATATATATAAAGAGAGAGAGAGAGAGAGAGAGAGAGAGGGAGAGGAAGAGATGAATATATATTATATACCGTACCTATGGATACTAATGGGTATGTCCCAATCCTCATAAATATATTGGACACATAAGTAAGTGGGGGTAATATGCTATCTAAGTAGTCCACCACTAGCAGTGGTTTATCTAATTCATGCAGCTGGCGAGTATTGTATTTTGTTGATGTTATAAAGATTACCATTTCCTTTCCAACCTCTGTTTTGGTTATTCCTCATTCAATAACCCTTTCTAGGTTGCAGCTGTATATATATATAAAACTCTAGAGCAGTGGTTACCAAACAGTGCAGTGTGCCTCATAGCTGCAGTGGAAGATGATAGCAGGTGAGGTAGAATGATTGAAAGACAGTCAAAGATTTAGAAACAGTCTCAAAAAATTGATATGCCAAAAATAAATATGATTTTAAAATTTAAAATTTTATTCTGGATGACTTGTAATTGCATGCATGAGTCCCAGTATAGTTATAAATAATTATTGACTAATTTTATCATTGTGATATTTCTGCATCGTATCAAGTATTAAGAATATAGTAACTAGGCTCTGCAAATTGGAGGAGAGAGAGTTTTCAATGATAATGTTCTGACTTTGAATCCATAGTTATCTCCCTCCAACCCTCCCTCTATTTTTTTACTTTTAAATATATTTTTTATCACATAAAATTTGATGAGGCCTGAGCAAATTTTCATTCTGAAAATGCGGCCCAGAGGAAAAAGTCTGGGAGTCTAGAGTATAGCCACATCATCTTTTGATACAATGAAATTTTTCATTGACAGTAATTATTTGCATGATACGAAGTGTGTGAAAAAGTGCTCAGCCTTTTTTAATAAAAAATATTTTCCACAGTATTTTCTCTATTTTAAAAAGAAAAGACAGTCCTGGAACTTTTTTACAACTCTAAGGTTATTTTTCTAAGAACAATTAATGGAAACTAAAGAATAAACTTCTGGAAAGGCTTGAACTCCTATCTCCTCATGGGTGTTGTTTTATTATCACAGCAACATTACTGGTTTGGCCACAAAGACTTTAACTTGCAATCAATACTCAAATAAGATATTTCATCAGCAATACAAAATAAACTAATCCAAATTGACAATACATTATCTAAGAAATTCAGAAACTATTACAGCTAATACTAGTGTAAATCAGCCATTGATATTACAGAATATCCATGATCAGAGAAGAAAGAATATAGCTACATGATTGAGTTACTTCTGCCAGTAAAAGTCTTTGTGGTCAAATTGGCAATGGTGCTGTAACGATAAGACAAGCGCCCAAGGATAAATGATGCAAGTTCAGAAATTAGTCCTTTATTTCTGATCCATTCTAGTGTTTAGGAAAAAGAAACAAATTAAAAATAACAGAAATAAAATAAAAGATAGACTCATCAAGCATTGATAATAAAGACAATGCTTCATCCATGGCATTTATTAATAATTAATCATAATAATCATGAAGTGTAAAACTCTATATAATAAACACTTTTTTTTATTTTTACAGTGAGGTTCATGCTGTGCGAGGGCCCGGGGTCACTCAAGCTAGAGGGTTACAGATTAAAAGGTACAGATATGTGTGGAAGATAACAGTTAACCCTAGACTTGAACAAGTTAAGATTGTAGTGATCGAGAAATCCGCCTCTTGGGAATCGGTTCTATAAGGCAGCAGATTATGGGAAGAAGCTGCTTGAGTGGAAATTACATCTCACCAGGAGGACATGAAGAGAATGATGGTGGCAATTTATAGCCTGGCAGGTCTTGGTCATGTCTGATGAACTTAATGAGTATAATTCATCTGAACACTCACCACGGAAACAGCAATTCAGCAGTTAGAGGCTTGCAACATCCCATTTGTCAGAAAGAGGTTGCAGGGTGGAATATAATTCATCACCGACAAGGATGCAGAGATGCTTTTAGACTCTATCAAGAGTGGAAAGTGATGACTTGTAAGCTCCTGCCAAAGAGAAAATGGAGTAAAAGGATTCCTCAGTATCAAAGATTGTGCGGATTTGGTTATAAAGGAACTAATAGAATACAGAAAGTATCATTATAACAACAAGAATCTAAAAGATAACTAACAAAAAGACCAATTAAACAGAGAATAATTTAGCTAAGATTATAATTTAGTTAAAAACTAGAAAAAAAAAAAAATTTAATAGAGAATTCAAGAGACAGACAAACAGATTTACAGAGGAAATAATTTAATTTAAATCAAACAAAATAAAAAAAAGTTTTCTATGAAGAGAATGGTATAAGACAGTGATATTTATTATTAGCACATGGTGGAAAACGATACAAAAACAACAGACATGATTGGACAGGAACAGTAATTCATTGAGAACTATGCAAATATTTTGAACTCTGTCATCCATGCAAATTTTATGAACATAAATTTAAAACTGCTCTCAAGAATAAAAAGTATACTTAGGTAATATCATATGAAAGTAATAATTGTGCAGTTGATTCACTCAGAACAGTTTGAAATACTCTTGAAAAAGGATTGGCAGATTTAATGATCCAAAGTAGAATTGAGTTGAAGTTGCCAAGGATCCTAAGGAATGTATTGAATATTTATGATCACAATCCCCAAGTAATAACCAAGAGAAATCTCTGGTGTTAATATACATAGAAAAGTAGTTATTTCTAGTAGTTATTGCTAGATCATATTGTTAAATATACATAAAGCAAGTAGTTATTTCTAGTGGTTATTGCTAGGAAATCATATTGCTAAATATACATATGACAAATTGTTATTTCTAGTGGTTATTGCTAGATATCATTACTAAATATACATAAAACAAGAGGTGATTTCTGATGGTTATTGCTAGGCGATTATCTTGCTAAATATCCTTATAACGTGGTAATACATAGGGAAACAGATGAAAAATTGCTTTTAGTTTGGGAGTAAGATGTTATTTAATTGTTACTAAGATTCATAATCACAAGTAGAAGAGGAAGGTTCTGAGTTAAAAGGTTGAAAATATCAATAAATTTTTAAAGGGAGAGATTTTTTCTGCCAAAGAAAAAATTGGTTAGATGAACAGTAAATTGTTTCCATTTGAAAGAGAAAGATATTTGTGATTGTGAATGAACATTCCAGATTAGATATAATGAGAATATAAAAATGTTCTTGCTAAACAGATCAAGATTTCTCATTTTGTCATATGAAAACATTTAATGGGGAGTATAAACTGATATTTTTCAGAGGTAAAACAAAATTTCAAAAATAAAAAAATCAGTAATAATAGAAATAACCATCAAGAAAAATGTGGCCTTGATCTTTTAAGTTCGCAATAAATCTTATTAAAATCTGCTTATAAGGAAAGAAAACAAAATCTTTCAGAAAAGACTTTCAGAAATTATGTTTTAATATTTTACTACAACACTCTTTAAAATGTTTACAACTATTATTGATTGCAAAGTAAAAATATTATCTATCTCCCTATGTTCATCTATCTATCTATCTATCTATCTATCTATCTATCTATCTATGTTCATTATTTATCTGTCTACCTATGTTCATTATCTCTCTCTCTCTCTATTTCTATCTATCTATTGATGTTCATTAACTATCTATATTCATTATCTATCTATCTATCTATCTATCTATCTATCTATCTATCTATCTATCTATCTATCTTCATCTTTCTTTTCTTTCTTTCTATCTTCATCTTCATCTTTCTTTTTTCTATCTATCTATCTATCTATCTATCTATCTATCTATCTATCTATGTTCATCTTTCTTTCTTTTTCTTTTCTTTCTTTCTTTCTATATATATATATATATATATATATATATATATATATATATATATATATTATATATCTATATATATATGTTCATTATTTATCTGTCATTCATCTATATGTTCATTATCTATCTATCTATCTATCTATCTATTCATCTATCTATCTATCTATATTCATTATCTATCTATTTATGTTCATTATCTGTCTATGTATCTATCACTCTATGTTCATTATCTATATTCATTATCTATGTTCATCATCTATCTCTCTATGTTTTTTATCTATCTATCTATCTATTTATCTATTTATCTATCTACGTTCATTGGGGATCAGTTAATCATTTAAATTTTTTCAATGATACGGGCATCATTCATGATTTGAAAGTTTCAAAATGAATAATTAGAAATTCTATGATTTATGCAGTTACTACTTACTAGGTTTCACAAGGTTCTATCATTTTCTTGGAGTAACTGCCTGCAAATAAAACTGGAAGAACAAGTCAAAGACAGTTCTATGTTTGTATGTATACTTCTTGAAGGGGAAAGAGGTGACAAATAGTGACAATTTTTTTTATAAGCATTTCATCCCAAGCAAGACAGGAGTGCCACTAGTACATAAGGGGTTACAGGGAGTGAAAGTAGGGGAAAAGATTGGATATAGGGGGAGATTGAGGAAAGGATAAAAAGAAGAATGGAGAAGGATAAAAAGAAGAACAAGGAACAAGGCATCAGAAGATGTTAATTGACATTACATTTAAATTTTTGAAGATTATAGGGAAGCAAGTAAGAGGAAGGGAGTTCCACTGTTGGGAAGTGCACTGTTGGAGTAGAACAGGCAGTTACATTTAACTGTTTCATCAGTAAAAGGGTGGGACCAAGATGCCAACCTAGTAGCATGCTTAAATTCATGTGGTCGGGGAACCAGTGAAAATAGCTTGACAGAGCAGATACCATGAAAATATTTATAGAAAAGACAGAAGGAAGCCACATTATGTCTGTGAGAAAGTGACTGGAGTCAATATCCCCAAGTCAGGATCAATCACATTGCATATCTATCTTTGGATTTTGTCAAGAACATTGAGATGAATGGCAGGTACACAAGACCATATATGGCAACAGTATTCCATGCATTGATAAATGGCGGATTTGTATATGTGGAGGATAGACTCAGATGAAGAAAACCTTCTGGTGCAGCACAGAGAACCAATTTTCCTTTCAGTAGATGCAGCTATTGATTCAATGTAATTGTTCTACCTCAGGTTAGTGAAAATTGTGAGACCAAGAAGATGTAATGGGGTACTCTTGTGGAGATGAGCATCAGCCATAATGATAGGAGGCAGGGAAGTTTCTCTATAGCCAGTAAATGACAGCAGTTTCATTTTGGATGCACAAGCCATTTCCTGTCACAGTCAATCACATACTGGAGGTCATTTTCATGACCAACAGCCAGGTTAACTTTGTCAGCAATGCCAGATTTACTATTGATACTGGAGTACAAAGAATGCAGAGCTCCATTATATATGAAATGCTTCAAGGAATATTATGCAGTTAAAAAATATTAAATTTAGGAACATAACATTTGTTCTGTTTTGTTTTTTCTTTATTTCTGAAAATCTAAAAGAGTTATAATATTATTGTTATAGTTCTAGAGTCCAAAATACAAATTACAAATTGGAGATACCGAAATGAAACAGGTGCAACAATTTAGATATCTGGGAAGTGTATTAACAGAGGATAGAAAGTGCGATACTGAAAACTAATGGCACATTGGGATAAGAATTTGATCTATTATGTAATAATAGTCCTCCTATATGGCAGTGAATGCTGGACAAGCTCCCCACAGATGAAGAAGAAACTTGGAGCAGCAGAAAAGTGCTTCTACACAAGAATGCTGAGAATACCATGGACTGAATATTTGAGCAATGACCAGAGTTCTAAAAGATTTTAGAGACAATGGCATCAAAAAGAACACTTATATTTAACATCACCAAGAAAATGAAATTTCTGGGGTACATAAAGAGGAAAGAGGCCTTGGAAAATTTGATACTCACAGGAGAGATTGAAGCTAAGAGAGACAGAGGAAAGCAACACATAAGTGAGCTTGAGTGAATGGATGATGGAACGGGGCTTGGAAGAAAGTGATAAAAGTTATTAAGAGATACAAAGGACAAAAACTTTTGTAAATCTATGATTTGCCAATGTTCTGAAGGAACACAGCACATAGAAAAAGATGGTTTAAAAATGACAGTAGGAAAAAATTCTCAGTCCTTGCGAACATGTTTTATCTTCCAACTTTAACAAGGCAAGCAATGGAAGCAATATATTTTGTAACCATAGTTACATCAAATCCAAAATTTAAAAATGAGACGCTTCTGCATAAGCCTTTTTCTGGATATTGGTATTGGTAACTTCCTTAATATAGTTGAATTTCCCATGTCAAGATGTGTCAGCAAGAACTAAGAATTTTTTTCCAATTGTCATTTTTAAACCAAGTTCTCATATTTTCAGAATGATTTCTAGGAAATTTAACTATATAGAAAAATATATAATTAAAGTGAAAATAAGCATTAAAACTAGACTTTGCAAAAAAAATATTTTTGTTTTACTCATTTGGCATTTAAGCATTAAACAGACATATAGGTGAACAATGACATGCATCTTTTACGTTCTGTGTCCAATTCATTTACACAAGCTGGTCAGTTAGGATACATGCTGTTTCCTTTGCCAGTCTTGCCTTCAAGATATCCTGTGAGTGTCAAATTCTCTAAGCCCCCTTTCTTCATTATGCTTCCAGAAATTTCAACTGCCTTAGATTACCACCCTTGATGATGAAATCTCACTGCAGTGAGATTTATGAATTATTGCCCTCTGATGATACTTACAGGCGGTGCAAGATTTGAAAGATACAATCTCTTTCTTGATGACTTTTTATAGCGAAAAGGCATATTCTTTTTGCTCCTGTAAAATGTAAGTAATCAACTCCAGACACTTAAGTTTGCTTTGAACTTTTCACATTTCATTTCTCATCTTTTCTTTTGTAAAATGTGCTGAAAATATATTTGTTTATATTTCTTTGTTCAAATTCTATGTCTCATTATTTCTTTGGACTTACACAAATTCACCAACATATTTAGTGGGTCATGTGTACCAGGAGCTAATAACTTCTCATCAAAGTGTTTGTACCCACAACAACTATCTCTTTCTGATTCTAAATATAGGTGTTCTTTTTGTTTTCATTTCCTTTAAAACTTCCATATTGCTCATATGCTCTTTTTCATGATATTCTCGGCATCCTTCTGTAGAACCACATCTCTGTTGCCTCAAGTGTTGTCTTTGGTTATGAGGTAATTGTTCAGCATTCACTTCCATATAGGAGAATTGATATTACATAGCAATTCAGCACTGTTTTCCTAATTTCTACCAAACTTTTCCTGTTTCCCAATATTTTATTTAGCTTTTGGAAAGCATTTTTCACCTTTCTGTTATGGCAATTTACCCATGCATGCATGGACTCTCCCAGCTATAAATAGGAACAGGTACTGTCTTTTGGAAAGGGAAGTTTCCATCAGTCAGCTATGACAGTCAGACCAAACATTCTTGCTGTAACACTCTCGTTTGTATATATTTGTATTAATGTTTCTGTTAATATATTTGTTTAACTCATTTCCTCTCTTGTGTCTTTATTTCTGGTCCTAACAAGGCCACAACACCTTCCAACACATCTTTGGATTTCAATGTCAGATTTTCTGTCATCTTTTATAATAATTCCATGATACATTGTTTGATTTTGACATCTGCTCTTTCTCTTTCTAATGACTATATGTTCTGTTTTCCTACATTTGATGATTAGTCCTTTCTTCTCACTTTTGTTTACTAACTTGTTTAAGAGTTCCTGCAGTTTTCTTTCACATGGTCATTTGCATATCTTATATTAAGATGGTGCCCACCAATAATACATCTTGGGAGAACTTCTAGTTTGTTTTAATTATTTCCCACAATAATGCCACTAGGTCACAAGAGTTTACTGGGAGTGAAAGAGAATAAGAAGATTTTAGTGAGGAGAAAGGAAAACAGAAGATGGCGATTGGCATAGCATTTAAATTTTTGAAGATTGTAGATCGCAGGGAAGCAAGAAATTGGAATGGAGTTCCACAAGCCAGAAGTGTGAGAAAAAGAAGTATTAGAATAGAACATATGGTTGCATCTAGCTACTTCTAGTGGATGAGACTTAGTTGCCAATGTAGTAGCACATTTAAATTCATGAGCTCATGAGAACAATTGCCATGAAAATATTTGTAGAAAAGCTCTTATAATTGCCTTGCTATATAAATGGTGTTTCAATAACTTGAACTGATTTTAAATTTAATTCACATTTAAAATCTATCCAAGTTATTGGAACACCCTTTAATAGGTTAAATAAATTTGGTGAGAAGACACATCCTTGCTTTATTCCTTTTTCTCTTTTTCTGTACTTGCTGAATTCATTTTCTCCATGTATACAGACAGTTTACCTTTAGTAAATACATACTCAGCCCAGGAATATAATACAGATATTATAATTATTTTTACCATTTATTTAAGTGCTTTGTGAGGGGTAGCAAATTTCACTTACAGTCTCATTCATTAGTTTACATATTCACAATGTTTCAGCTGTTGTATGCTCCTGCCTTCTTCAGGTAATTGGAATTTCAAACTGAACCTTTTATTTCATCCACCAGAGTAGATTGTTCTAGTTCCACCTACCATGCCTCTTCCATATATCTCAGTTTCAGTTATTTCCCTTTAGTAACTCAATTATCCAAGTTTTTGTTCACCTCTTCTGTGGCTAGGTATTGAACTCCCAACTCGTTGGTTCAAGTTACTGGATTACTTTAACCAACACTTTTATCCACTGGGCCATTGAACTTGACAACAAAGATGAGAACAACAGTCTGAACAATGTAAATTACAATACTTCATGTCAGAAATATAGACAGTCATTAGTGTTGTGAGTTTTATCCTCACTGAGTGTCCAACTGCTGTGATTTTGTACAAAACTAAGCTAAAACTAAATGCCTTAATTTACTGCATGCAGATAGGCTTAGGAAATTTACACATCTGGGGAGGGCCAGCCTGCTTACTTTATAAATCTGACTCAAACAAAAACTATTGGAGCCAGAAGCAACAGAGTTGCTGTCATAACCACCAAGTAAACCTGAGATAAAGAAACAAATGTAAATATATGAGGGCATATAGATATAACGTATATGCATGCATGAATAATTGTTTCTCTGTCTGCGTTTTGTTTGTCACATGTTACAAACTATTCTAAAAAAAAACGTGATTGATATTCCTGTGGACGATGGA